TAGTATGTAAAAAAAGAAGCTGCCTTTCATCCCTAAGCTGTAAACACAGACAGTACGTGGTGCGGTTAGGAGTGGGCATCAATACAGCCCTCTAACCGCCATGTGATAGTGAAAATCACGATTGGAGAGGAAGAGATAAGAAGGGGAAAAAAAGGGAAGAAGACAGAAAAAAAAAATACAAGTGTTGAAAAACTAACGCGAAGGAAGTAATTATCCGCCTTGGTACGTTTGGGCGGCGGTTCCCCTTGCGTTGACATACTAAAAGTGATATGTTAAGAATGAACGCTCTGCTACATCCAGTTAGTGTTGACGAGTAACAATTCACGAATGGAGTTCACACCATGGTCTTTGCAGAGTAGATACTTGCTGAGGATAATAGTGTTTCTATTCACATTTAATCTCTGTAAGTCATAGCCCTTTCCAGGTAAGAGCTAAACCCGGCTCGGCCGGTCAACACACTAACATTTTACTGTGGCTCGGCTCGGCTAGCCTGGGCTCCCCTCGGCTTGACCCCGGCCGGCTTCGGCCCGCCTCGGCTTACTTCGGCCAGACCCGGCAGCTGCACGGTTTGCGAATTTAACCCGCAGACCGTGTAGCAGGAAGCACTGAGAGAGACGGAGGAAGGAAGGAAAGGAAGGGACAAACAGCGGGGAGGGGAAGGGTGCTGAAAGGAGGGACGAGCATGAGAGGTGGGGGCAGGAAGAGATTGGGTGGGGAGGCTATTGTGCGAGAGTGGTAGCCGCGCGCTCGGAGGCACGGGAGGGGTAGTTAGGTTGGAGCATCGAGTGGCCACGTAGAGGAGAGGGAAGAGATGATGGGCGGAAGGAAAGAGGGCCTGCGTTGCTGGTTTTGTCACGGAAGTGCGGGGTAGGGGAAGGGCTCCGGAGGGGTGTACACTGTAGGGGGTATAGAAGGGGAAGAAAGAGAGGCTGGCAATGCATGAACACACTTTTGGGCGTTGAGTTCGAGACGCGGAGAGAGGGGCTGTGATGGGGATGAGGGAGGGCGGTGTGTGCGGATTTCGCGCGCAGGGATTCGAGGCTGGCTACATTGAATGGCTATGCGACGTAGATCCTTTGACTGTTGCCTAAGCCATGTAAAAGAGAGGGAGGTGGTGATGGCTTGGAAGGATTAAACCGAGAAAAAAGTACAAGCAAGAAAGAAAATAAAAGCAAAAAAGTACCAGCAAGAAAGAAAGTGAAAGGAAGAAAAAAGCACAGGGAAGAAGAAAAGTAAAATTAAGAAAAGCGAGCGAAAAACCCGCCACCGCTAGGGAACACCCCTACCTATAAAGCTGATACTTCGGTGAAGGGAGCTGAAGCGAATAAAGCAAAGCTGATGCTTAGGTAAAGCTAAGAGCCCTGAGCTTTACCTAAGCATCAGCAATTTGACCCCTCAGCTTTACATATGCATCAGCAATTTGATTCTTCAGTTTTACCTAAGCAACAACAATTTGATCCCTCAGGTTTACCTAAGCATGTGGCGGGTTTCGTTCTAGGCAGGGGCGGGAGGAGGGAGAGCTAGAATTGGTGCATATATGGACTAAACGGCGCAGACCCTTTGCCGATTGACTAACTAACGTTTATTTGGAGGGGAGAGGGACTAGTGAAGAACGGAAAGGATGAGGAACTGTCTCCTGGTTTTTACCGCAGATATCTGGGGGAGAGGAAAGTGATAAAGCGAGCACAAATCGTATTATCGCAATACTAAAAATCCGCAAGAAACTGTGCAAAAACGCACGATCGCACCGGTTCGACTGGTGCGTTCCAGCCTGGGTTTATTTTAATCAATGTGCCAAGACGGGAATTTCTAAAATTTTTAGCTGCATATCGAGAAATCGCGGCTGTGCTCACTCAGTGCTACCAGGCAATCCTTCACCCTCAATTTGCTGAATGCAGATGCTACTATAGGTGCCATCCAGTCAATTATCCTCCGACAATTGCTTTTGCGAAAAAGATACATGCACATATATATACAACCTAAATAACAGCTAATTCTCAAATAGTACTACAACTGCAGCTCCTGAAGTAGCGCAGAATGGATCCCAAAAATATATCCTAAACAAAGCAGCAGGTCTTCGGGCAGAGAATTTCGCTTCCTTGCTAATATCAGTTCTATTCTACTTACGGATAACTTTGGATGGGCACTGAAAGACATGGTATAA